GCCACGGCCAGACCGCCATACGCGGCGCCAAGAACGACGACAGTCTTGACCATATTGGCTGTTCCTCTTGCCGACTCGAGCTCAAATAGACTCTGGGCTTCTCAGTGTCGATGAGGTGAGCAATGGGCGAACAACTCGTCTTGATGGAGCCAAAAGAAGGTAGTAGTCGAGTCGTTAGAGTACTGTTTGTTGATGAGCCTTTCAAGGAGCTGCTGAATATCTTCAGGTCAACAGACATTACGCACCCAGAGCTGCGAAACATCTGGTATTTATTCTCCTCCATAGCTTGCTCGGGTCCGGGATACATCAAAGCCTGGTGGCATCCTTGCGGCATAGATCCTGCGCTTCCCCTCCATCCTATCCCATAAAAGTCCGGATACGCGTCTCCTCACCAGGCAGCGCTAATGCCAATGAAGAACGCGAATTGGTGCCATTAGTATTTTTGGTCCAGGTTTCAGTCTCAAAGTCCGTGCCGTTTGGGTAACACAACATGTGGTTGGTAGGATGGTAGGTAAGGTCAGACAGAAAAAGCACTTTGGATGTTCATGTCCGTCACTGGGTGGGGTGGGCCTGTCGATCCCCCGTTGTCCGTTCGGCTTTCCCCACGCCCAGACCACGATATGACGGATTGTCATTCGACGACGTTTGGCACAGTTGGTAGCTGCACGAAGAAAACTGAAAAAGAAGAGACGGAAACAAAAGGTTGAGTGAGCTTCGGCCGGAATCGCTGCATTGAGAGACGGTTCAGGTTCGGGATATTGCTGGTGGTGTAGGACTTGTTGATGCCATTTGCCATTTCCAGCGATGTTTCCTCGCGCTGAGTGTCCTTGTTCGCGCCGATAGCTATTCGAGCGAGCTTCAAAGCATACTTTGGAGCCATACTTATCGGGCCCGAGTGTAGCTGTCACCCCCGATTCGTTCAGTTCGGATCAGCCCGTTTGGTGCGACTTTGTCAATGGAAGAGGAGTTGCGTTAGTCAGGAGGAGAGCAATTCCGAACACCCTCCCGGAGAGAATCAGCCATCCTTTGGTCGATGTAGTCAAGTTGCTCTAATTCCCCTCGAGGCACGAGCCATGCATCCTATTAATACCCAGATTTGCGGCTGGGAACAATTCAGATGTTGAGCCATTATCTCTGCTCGGGGAGACGTGCATCGTTGCAAAGTGCCATATCAAACCTGGGGAGATCAAGCGCTCGGATGTCCTTCTTTGCACCGGGCGGCTGCTTGGCTAGATGCAAGACATGGCTGCACCAGGTGGACGGGCAACCAGTTCGCAAGTCCTGCCGAGTGCCGTGAGCACAGCCGAACGGTTAACGTCGACTTTACATAGAGGCTGCAGGTCGAGGGAAGATGCTGGCTGCTAGCGCCTAGGTCGCTAAGCATTGGACTGGTGAGCATTTCTACTTGGGCAGAACAAAGGCTGCATCTTCGAAACCGATAAGGCTGGTCGTTGGATCAAGGACAGAACGAAGGTTAAACGATGCTCCGAGCAGCTTCGGTGACTTATTGAATTCTAGGTAGGTACGTTACCCCGGGCCGACGTCACGGAGGAGGCGGCTTGACATTGAGCCGATACTCCTCCAGGTTGTGGCGATACACCCCGAATCACATGTGGCGGTGCACGACCTGAGGTCTGAGAGGCACAAGGTGCAAGGTGCAAGGTGCAAGGGCCGACCCAATGACAGCATCAGCTGCCCCGCGCATATGAGCATATGATGAAGCGGGCGTGTGGGACCTTCCTTGCTAACCCCGCCAAAAGGTCCAACCCTTTCCTCCGCCTCCCAACACTGAGAAGCTCAACAATCCCTTTTCCCTGGACATAACCTCACGTACTACGCAACCACGCAAACCTCTTAAACCTTATATCAAAGATCCCCTTAAACCAAACATCATGTCTGCCCCTCAGAGCGAAGCCTTCAAGCAGGCTGTCTCCGACAGCAAGAAGCTTACTTCCAAGCCCGGCAACGACGAGCTTCTCGAGCTCTATGGTGCGTCGCTTCCCACGAGCTCCACCCCTGTTACCTCGGCTTCTTTCGTAGCTAACAAATCATGATTATCATAGGCCTGTACAAGGTCAGCACTGGCGAGGACATCTCCAGCGCCCCCAAGCCTGGCATGTTCGACCTCAAGGTACGCAGCACTGCCATCTGAGCAGACCCGAGCTCCCCCTAAGCGAATTTGGCACGTGATGGAAAGCTGACGCTTGATTTACGTGCTTTACAGGGCAAGGCGAAGCAGGCCGCGTGGCAGAAGGTCGTCGACGACAACCTCACCCCTGAGCAGGCCCAGGAGAAGTACGTCGCCCTCGTCAACTCTCTCAAGGAGAAGTACGGCTACGACGCCAACAAGGAGCCCGAGGCCGTCGGCGCGTAAACGCAGCAATTCCAATGCAATGCACTGCTTGTAACGACCATGAGAAACGACAACGGGTTGATATGGATTAGCAATGGCTTCCTTTTGCTCGAGTACATGCCGAGCAGGGAAGCGAGGATCAATATAATGATACCAACGTCGACACGAGTCACATGTGAATAAGCGCGCGGGTGGGCTCAGTTCTCCCAAGCACCCCAAGCTCTTCCCAGTCTGTCCGGCCCGTCATGGGCCATCGTCGCCACCCAAGGGATCTCGTCTTTGCCATACGCTTGAAGAGGTAGGTTGTAAGGAATCCGTAGGCCGAGCACCGGTTCGCCGTCCCCCGCATCATTTGGTGGCATGTCTGTTTCGAATGTCCCCACCATGGTCGCTTTGTCTGCGATGAGCGAAGGCCATATAAGCACTCCGACTTCCCATGATGCGATCCTAACTTCCTGCGATGCACTTGCCGCTTCGCCCCACGCTTGTTTGGAAATGTTGGCAGATGTGACTAGGGCCCAATCTATCGACTTTTCGCCGTAGCGAATATATGTCTTGATGTGAGGTGCCGCCCGTTGTCTGCCGGCTTCTTTCATGACTGAATCATCGCTCAACGCTATGACATATTAGTTGTGTATGGACAGGGTGAGATCTATTACTCTACCTTTGCCATGAGGCGAATCATTTGCCCAGTGACAGAAGATGGGCCGCAAGTATGCCAGTTGCTTCGCCTGTTGTTGTGACTGAATTTTGGTATGGATTGATGCTCCTGAAGCATAGCCATCCAAGCTTTGCCTGATCTCGTCCGCGGTTGGAAAGACGACCTGGAACTTTGACCTGGGTGTCTCAAGCGAGTTGTTTTTGGACACGGCTAAAGAGTCGAAGAGGCACCTTTGTAGCCAGCTGTCAGTGGCCCCCAAAGTAGCAATAGACGATATCTGAACTGCAATTTCAGACTTCCCTTCTTGAACCGGAACTTTGCGCAGTGCTCTCTTGAGAGCTGGCCATCCCCAGGTTGTCTGTAAATTGTTGTGAATGGGGTGACGGCCGGGGACGCTAGCAATGAGTGTTGCTCGCACACTCGAAAAGTCGTATTTGCGCAACTTTTCAACCAAGTCTATAAGAATTGGTCTCCGTGTGTTGTACGCTCTGAGGTAGCTGAGCAGGTCGTATTTGAATCTTTCCCCCGTCCCGACCGGATGACTATCCGCTGAGTCGTTCTCGACGACGACATCTCCCGGAAGGAGTGGCAGAATAGGTGACCTCCAGACAGCATTGGTCATATTCGTCCAGTCCTTGGCGATCATGTTGGCCGTGTGTATGATCACTTGGGCTGAGTCGTCATGCCGGATCAACACCATCATTTTCGTGTGGTGAGTGCCAAACATCTCCGGCATGAAAGCTCCATGTAGCTCAACATTGGGATACGCTTCTGCCTCTTCCTTTTCAGTGTCAGCGTTCAATGTTTGTTCAGCGGCTTGTCCTCGTCATCGTCGGCTGACCTGAAGGGCTCTGCGATTTGGGTCTTCTCTCTTCCAGAAACCGTGAATGACGTGAACTTTGACTAGGTTCTTGGTATCTTCATCAAAGTGGCTCATGAGAAAGTGTATGTCGTGCAAAAAGTTGAACTCCCAGCACTCTGCGATCATGGGATCACCCAGAATATCCGCGAGGCCGACGCAGTCACGGTTGGCAGCCTCGGGGAGATCCCGAACGGTCGTCAGCTGGAATGGCGACTTGATACGCATGCCTGGTTGTTTTCTCTTCGTAGGAGGACTTATAGGTCGGTTCAAGGATTCCAGGGGGTCTGACCGAGCTGTCGGCGCCGGTCCTCCCAAATCTTCGGCACGTCGCTGCCGTTTGGATGCTCGCTCCATGGCGAAAATGGAATCAATTAATGATCGTGTACGGCATTCCCAAGAGGAATAGATTTTGGTTTAGGCGAGTAGATAGGTGAGTAAATCACTTGAGATGGGTCGGTGGCTAGGATGTTATGAGGCAGATAGATGGAAGCAGCCAGATGCCAAATTGTTGTTCTAGGCAGGTGGCTCCGGCTTAGATCCGTTTAGGCACACAACCGCGGCGTGCTTGGCCCTTGCGGTCACTTCTCGACCATGATAATCAAGAAATGAGCCAAAACTTCCTAAACAGAATTTTCAGTCAAACGATTGAGATGTGTATTTTGATGTCGAATCAAGTATGTTTACGGCCCTGGCAATTTATAAAGTCACACTTTGTCCTTGTTGCGGCAAGCGAAGCCAGTGTAGCAAGGCAGTGACGTTGTCTCCTTTGAGGTGCCTTTACTGTACCTCTCTTTTCTACCTTGAAAATGCACTACGACAAACCTCATCATCTCTCACGGAGATTGCATTGGGGTGTTCTTTTTCTTTACAACTGAATTGGAATGCTGGCTTGAGCAACCTCCCAAGTATGGCCTCTCTTTGGGCCTCTGGCTTCCTAGTCCGCGATGTGATAGGTTGAGTTTTTGCCTGCAAGCACCTACACTGCCTCCGCCGTAGTGATCCCGTTTCGGTCGGCTTCACTTTTTCTGAGAAAATGGTTCGTCGAAACAGTTCAGCTGATATGCGGGCAGGCTGAACAGGCTTGGCATCCTCCCACTTTGGCCCTACTTCAAGTTTGACGGTACATCCATGCTTCCTCTTTCATCCCCTCCGACGGTCAACTCAGTATGGATCCTCTTTCCACCGCTGCAAGCATTATCGCTCTAATACAGGCATCGGCGGCGGTTGGCAAAGGAGTGAAGATACTTCTCTCTCTTCGCCATGCTCCGGCGGACTTTTGTGAGCTCGTTGATGAGCTCACTACTCTCCAGGACGTTATCGAGCAAGTCAAGAGTCCGCTTCAGGAACTGGAGAAGGGGGGTGTTGCTCTTCCGACGTTAAATATAGCTCCGACTTTGGCTTTGAAACAGGATCTAAAGAGTATACAAGAGGAGCTTCTAGCCCTGTGTCATCGTCTCACGGGAACGAAGTCTGGCGATGAAATGAGCGGGCAACTTCGAGTCTCAATGTCGAGATGGATCCGGGAGAGAAGTAATGTTGCCAAGCTGAAGTGCAGGGCAAGCAAGACCAAGGCCTCTTTGATACTTTGTTTTGGCGCTCTCATCTCGTCACAAGGGTGAGCGCTGACCGTCGAAGACGAGCGCTGTTCGACGAGTTGCTGACGTCGAATAGCTCTCATCACGCCAGGGCTATACTTGAAATCCGCCAGCTCGTTGAAACGTCTTTCCAGGCTTTGGAAGAGGAGGGTAGGATCCATCGGAGGATGCAACTTATGAATCAAGCCGACTTAGACGATATCAAGACCTCTCTCAACCAGATGTGCGCCAAGACGTTGCAACCAGAAGACTCGTTGCAAGGTAGAGACCAGCCTTCCAGAGTGATTAGCAACAGCCCGCGCTATATAGAGACCGGAAGCAGCCCTTTTTTGTCATTTCAGAAACGAGTCGACCGAATATGCACACCGTATTGCAAATGTCAATGTCATCGCCAGTCTAAGCTACAGACACCGACATGGCTACGCTTAATATTTGGAACCATGTTCCTCGAATTTAACAGAACATCGCTGCTGGGGCCCAGAAAGTGCGACTTCGAGGCGTGTGCCGGAGCACCAGATTCGGCACGCATGATATACATCTTTCCCCAATGGCTCCTCTTGCGTGCCCTCTTTGTCGCTGCTTCTCGGGACAGTCTGACCGGAATCGGCTCTTCGATCCACCTCCGTATTCCACGACTAATTCCACGTGAACAAATGATATCGATTGTGTATAACTTCGACATCGATTGGGTGAAGCGAGGAATCATCAACTCAACTGTACTGCCGACAGATGTAGATGAGGATGGGAACTCTCTCCTTATGGTACGTCCGTGTATATCAATATCTGTAGCCCGTGCGAGTTCCTTAACCTTGTTGCAACGTCTTCAGATAGCGCTGCGCGACGTCAACTTGACGCTTTCGGAATTTCTGGTCGAGCAAGGATGGCCGTTGCATACCGAGAATGTTACTCGCTGGTAAGCTAAGTTGATCCGATGCCCGTGATACTCGGTCGATGGTCCCAAGTTGACCCGTCTCAGGACCGCTGCCAGCCGCTCTCGTATGCTCTATTATGCGGCGAAGCAAAGCCAGATACAGTCTCTCAAGCCTAAGCATCGTCAGATGCTTGAGCAGCTAACATTTTCTCAAAAGACTGAAACATCATCCTTGATTCACGATGCGATGCTCGGGACCGTCCCGACATCCTTGTCAGACGCAATAACACTTGCCCGATCTGACATTGACAGCTTGGATAGTTACGGATGGTGTCCGCTGCACTGGGCAATCTATCTGGCCGATTATGCTTCCTTCGATATGCTGCTGTATCGTGGTGCGAGCCTCGAGACGACTACCAGGAGCGGGTGGACACCTCTGCATTACGCAGCGCGATATGAATCTCCTGGTTCGGTGAAGATGACTAAAGCACTCCTCGACGCTGGCGCAAACATTAATGCCCAGGTCGACAACTATCGTGGGTCCAGAGGAGAAACGGCCATCATGTTCGCATTCGACAACCCCGATGTCATAGACTTACTACTGCAGAGAGGAAGTGCTTTGGTGGTTGAAACCGACACAAACTGGGTGTGCCCGCTCTCGTATAGGGCTCGTCGTACAAGTAACGTCGCCCGTTGGGATCCGAGGAGGACCTACTGGGATCGATCTCTCGACCTGCTCTGTAACGCTGGCATGGACCTCAATGTACCGTCCAAACAGAGAGGCTTCAAAGGCAGAACACCCATTCACGACACGATTCTGTGGCGCAACGCGGCGTTGTTGGAGCTCCTGATCCAGCACGGCGCCAGGCTCGATGCCGTTGACAAGAAGGGATCCGGAGTGCTCCACTTCGCGGCCCAGAGTGCCAACCAGGAGCTTATTGATATCTTGAGCGATGCTCGTATCCGCGGGCTGAACCCTGATCTAGCAAATGCGGCTGGCGATACTCCGATGAAGATTATGACTGCCAGGCTGTACAGTAAGGAAGACTCCAGACAGCCGGGCGAGACGGTACCGACGTTCGATGAGTGGTTGGCTTTCAAGAACATATTGGAAGAAATTCGAGGACGCAATCTTGAGGACTTCTTGGGATCTAAATACATGGACATGGTTGACGATGACATTAGTTCCAGCGGGATTTCAAGCAGCACTAGTGACGATGTGGATTAGTCGTCGACTCAGCTTAAGCAAGAAATAGGAAAAGACATCCAGAAAACTTTTGGATCAAGGATCGAGCGTATAAGTGCCATGGCGTTCAGGGCCCTTTCATGGGGTTTGAAAAAGTCCCGAGCTTGGGTTTACTCTCCCTCGTGGGATGCGATGACGATCCGCACGTGCCATTGGAACGGTTCTCCATACCTAGCTTTCGAGTTTCTTGCATGACAGTGCGCGGCACGCATGGTGAGATTTTGAAGTGGCGATCCGAGATGGATAAGCAGGATTCTATTCTTATCGCAATCCAGATCCACCTCGCTGCCGCCCCAAGATGCAAGATTGAACTTTGCCCAACTTTTGAATGGCGAAATGAACCAATGTTTAGTGGGGGCAGATTGAGCAGGCGGGCAGCTGGCACCACAAGTTCCCGCAGTTCTCCCGCACTCTCCGCTTCCCGCCCGCCAGCTTTTGCCAGGGGATACCAAGAACGGACAGCTGGAGGTTGACTGGAGACGGTGGCCTTAGCCAGAACACGCACAAAGCATCCGTTATTGCCTCATATCTAAGGCAACATATTCCTCCCGTGTTTGGTTGCGCAACGGCTGGCACCAAGGAGTCAAGGACCAGAACCAGCCAGAGAACCTGGACCGCGCTACAGAATCTTGACACACGGTCTTTCTCCTGACCTGCCAGTCCTGTCGCTCGCTTTCGCTGGTCCCTTTGCTTGGCTTCCCCCTTTGCCAGAAGCAACCACCAATCTAACCTAACACCACCACCCTTTTTTCTCCTTCATTTCGACGCCGCTGGACGATTTTCGGGGGGCTTTGACCCAGACGACGAAAGGAACATTAGCTTCTTTCTCGACTTTTCTACCCTCCATGTCTTCGGCGATCTAAAAGGTTTTATCTAAACCCTTTGCAAACCCCTCGAACCACCTCAATCGCGACTTCCCATCCGATCCACACCTATCTGACGCTGCGCCCTCGCATTGCGAATTGACTACACAACCGCGCTTTGCCGCGCCCTCTCGACTGCTTGCGTCTGTTCAGCCGTCGTTACTGGCATCATTTGACAGACTCTGCTATTCATCTTTCGCTCCAAAGTCATCGCACTCACGCGGTGCACCCTCATCGCCGCAATGAGGTTATCACCTTTGTTCCTGTTTTTGGGCACGACCCTCCTCTCCGGGGTTCAAGCAGCAGAGGCAGACAAGGATGACCGGGAGAACACCTACTTCAACTCCATGAAAGTGCCGCCAATACTCGAGTTGACGCCGGATACCTTTGACAAGGAGGTCAAGGCCTCGCAATTCATGCTTATCAAGCACTACAGGTACCCGATCATACAATCGCTTACCCGCCCTTCGCGCAACGTGCTTACGATGAGATAGCCCTTACTGCCCGCATTGCATAGACTATGCGCCGATATACCAGACCCTCTACGAGTGGTACTACACCTCGAAGCCCGAGTCCAAGGAGGACAAGACCTTTACCGAGCTCTACGATTTCCGCTTCGCCACGATTAACTGCGTGGCCTACTTTGATCTTTGCGCTTCCCACAACGTCGCGTCGTACCCCAGCACCATTCTCTACAAGAATGGCGAGCTGGCCGAATTGATCAAGGGTGTCAAGGATATTGACCAGATCAGCCCCATCATCGAGAAGTACCTCGAGGCCGCCAAGCCCGGAACCAGGCCCCGCAGCCTCGAGTATCCCGAGCCTGGCGACAAGACCTCCCCCGAAAAGGCCCCAGGGAAGGCCGACGACTCGAAGAAGCCTGGGGACGACAAGGCCGACGCTAAGACGGACGCCAAGACTGACAGCAAGACTCCCGCAAAGGCCGACGAGAAGACGCCGCCCAAGGAAGAGACCAAGGCTCCCCCGAAGGCTCCTCCCGCGAAGGAGGACGATAAGCCTGCAGGCAAGACCGATGCGAAGGCTGATACTAAGGGCGACGCGAAGACTGAGACAAAGACTGACGCAAAGGCCGACGTCAAGGCAGATGCAAAGCCTAGCACCACTACCGAGAAGGCTATCGCTGCTCCTACCAAGGCCGTCGTCAAGAAACCTACAGTCACACCTAACAAGGAAGGTGCCTCTGTGCCTTTGAGCGCCGAGAGATTCCAGACCTTGGTCACCATGACCCAGGACCCCTGGTTTGTCAAGTTCTACGCGCCTTGGTGTCATCACTGCCAGGCCATGGCACCTAACTGGCAGCAACTGGCCAAGGAGATGAAGGGTCGTCTGAATATCGGAGAGGTCAACTGCGACGTGGAGACCAGACTCTGCAAGGACGTCCGTCTCCGCGGCTACCCCACTATCCTCTTCTTCAAGGGTGGCGAGCGTGTCGAGTACGATGGTCTGAGAGGCCTGGGCGACTTTGTTCACTACGCCAACAAGGCCATCGACATTAGCGAGGGAGTACTAGATGTAGACGCCGAGTCCCTGGCAGTCCTCGAGGAGAAGGAAGAGGTCATCTTCATCTACTTCTACGACCATGCCACTACCTCTGAGGACTTCATGGCTCTCGAGCGTATCCCTCTCAGCCTGATTGGCAAGGCAAAGCTCGTGAAGACCAAGGATCCCGTGCTTTTCGCCCGTTACAAGATCACGACCTGGCCTCGCTTGCTCGTTTCCAGAGAGGGCCGCCCTACATACTACCAGCCGCTAACACCTAAGGAGATGCGTGATATCCACCAAGTCCTGAACTGGATGAAGTCAGTCTGGCTTCCGATTGTTCCTGAGATGACCGCTTCCAACGCTCGCGAGATCATGGATGGAAAGGTCGTTGTCCTCGGAATTGTCAATAGGGAAGACCAAGAAGGCTTCCTCAGAGCCAAGCGTGAGTTGAAGAGTGCTGCCAACGAGTGGATGGATAAGCAGATCCTTCTCTTCCAGCACGAAAGGCAAGAGCTTCGAGATGCCAAGCAACTCAGAATCGATGAGGCCGATGACCGCGGCGACGGGCGTGCGTTGCGAGCGGCCAAGGCCATCCGCATCAACATGGACAAGTCGGACCGTAAGCAGGTTGGCTTTGCCTGGGTTGATAGTGTTTTCTGGCAGAGATGGATTCGCACCACCTATGGCATTGACACCAAGGACGGAGACCGTGTCATTATCAATGACGAGGATGTAAGTGCAACCGACCTATACATAAATGTAAGCAGCCAGACTGACTTGATGCTTAGAACCGCCGCTACTGGGATACCACTATTACTGGCAACAATATCCTCTTGTCCCGGACGTCGATCTTGGAGACCATTAACAAGGTCGTCTCTTCGCCGCCCAAGATCAAGCCCAAGCTCACCATCTCGAGCTTCGAGAAGATCTTCTTTGACATCCGTGTCACCTTTGTCGAGCACCCCTATCTCACCATGGGCTGCATTCTTGGCCTGGCCTTTGGAGCCTTCTCATGGTTCCGCAGCCGCACCCGCAAGGGCCGTGGTGGCCACTTCCGCCTGGAAGAATCATGGGGCAATAAAGAGTTGATGAAGGAGGGTCTCCTGGGCCCCAACGGCAACGGCAAGGTGGACTAGAAGTTGGGCTTGCTCGAACAGGAGTGGAAGAGGCTGGAGGAGCAGCGGTGCCCTGTACAGCATGATCTTGGCAAGTTGGACTAATGGGAAGGCCATGAATGAGGCTACGACGATTTGGGGAACATTGAACGTCAAAAGTGTGTGGGTTGTGCTTGTCTTTTTTGTTTGCTTTCAACGAAAGGAAAGCAGAATGACGTATTAAAAACCCAAAGCATTGAGGTGATTACTCACGGAGTTTGACGGGGACTCTTTTTTTTTCTTATTAGTGTTTCTTATTTTTTTTCCCGCTGCGTGTCTCTCTGTCTCTCTCTTTGGTGTGGGATTTGGCCGATGAGGGCTAGAGGTCTGTATAATAAATACTCCTTTATGTTTGATAGGGTTGGCGGTGGCTAAGAAAGAGGAAGGGGAACACAACGCCTTTCGCATACCTTACGTGCCACTTTGACAGATTATACATTGTTTATTTGACGACTTACTCACTAGGACCCTCGACCTGGATAAGCACGTGATAGTCTGGATACTGCCGGAACTGTGAATCTGCCGTAATGCGCTGTGTACATGACATGATGTTATGGGGTGACAGGATTCACTGTGGCTTGCGATCATGGGGAGATGAGAGTTCAGGGGATGTGGGCAAAGGGGGAAGGGGGGGGGGGGCGGCGACTGAAAGATAGGCTGTCTATGTCATTGTTACTCATTGTCACACACGGGGCTTTGGACCGAAAGAGGCTGCTTTGAAATTCCACCCAGAAAAAAATAGTTCATTTGTTTCCTCCCCAGCTCTCAATCCCAAAAGGTCCCCCACCCATACACGGACAACCACGTTGTCGTTTGTTTCGGTAACACACTCTTAGATTTGACGTTTCTGTTCTTCTCCTTGGATTTTTTCGTGTATTTCTGTTCAATATTGGAGCCACGGAATGAAGCCACCATACCAATCGTTCTTTTACGTGTAAATCTCATCAGTGAAGCTGTTGAGTGACAGACCCTCCTTGGCGATATCGTCCACGTCGACGAGGAAGTCGAGCGGCATCTCGACAATGTTGCCGCGCACGCGGTTCAGCCAGTCCTTGACCTCGCGCACGCCGCCCGGGAACTCCTCGCGCACGACGTGGCCGTACTCGACCTTGCCGCGGTTGGCCTCCTCCTCCTTCTGCTTGTCGTCCTCCTTCTTGGCGCCGGGGATGATGAAGTACTTTGAGAAGAACTCGTCATAGTCCTTCCAGGTGCGGACGCGGTCGTTGGGGACGTTGTGGAAGACCTTTGTAAAGACTTCCGTGTTCGTGCGGGCGGTGCCCTCCCAGAGGTCCCAGAACTCGCGGGACATGGGGTCGCGGACGAGGCGGTCGGCGGGGGAGTCCCAGTCGTAGGCGTTGGGCCCACGCTCGATGGAGGTCCAGTTGTCGTTGGGGCGGTCACAGGGCTGGTCGGGGAGGAGGCCGAGGTGCTTGCGGAAGATTTGGCGGCGCAGGGAGGTGGCGAACTTGGAGGCCGTGTAGGGGCGTCCGGCCATCTCGGACTCGATGGGGGTGGGGTCCTCGATGACGACGGCGATCTCCGAGTCGTGGGTGCCGAGCTGGGAGCGGTCGTTGAGGTTGGCGGAGCCGCAGATGACGAGGTTGTCGTCGGCGATGAGGAGCTTGGAGTGGATGTAGAGCTCCTCGCTCACGAAGGCGTCGAGCTCGGCATCGGGCTCGCCATGCCAGGGGACCGAGTGCAGGTCACGGCCGCTGTCCATGTAGCACGCTGAGACGGTGTCCCAGGTCTGGTCCGAGACGCGGGACGCAGCCTCCTGGTAGCGCTCGTACTGGGAGTCGCCGCGGGTACCGTAGCCCTGACCCTGCTCGCCGTAGCCGGCGCCGACGTTGTCGTCGTGCTCGCGGCGGGCGTCTTCGTAGCGAACGCCGGAGCGGCCCTCTGCGTCGGCCATGGTGGAGGAGATGTTGATGCGGTCATAGTTGCGCAGATTGTAGAAGCGGATGTAGCGGCCCGGGTCGTCGATGCCGCCCTCGGAGCGGAGGGTCTCGATAATGGAGTGTCCGCCGCGAGAGATGGAGTTGTATTGGAACTCCATGATGGCGCGGGTGCCGAGGGCGTCGTCAGCCTTGAGGTCACCGGCGAAGGCGGGGACGGCGGGCATGGCGACGACGACCTTGAAGTCTTCGCCGTTTTGGTGGGCGCGGATGATGCGGTCCACGATGGCGCGGCCGATTTTGTTGGTGACGGGGTGCTGTTCCTTGCTCGTGGCCGTGATGAAGAACTTTGTTGCATGTTAGAGTGACTTGTGGACGGGAGTGAGGGAGAAAAGGGGTAGGGAAGTTTACCTGGTTCTCCATGTAGACGTAGTGCTGGGCGTTGGTGATGGCATGCATGTAAGCATTCGCAATGGAGTGCTCGGTTGGGTGGCCAGCAGACCACTCTGTGCAGCTGTGGTCGTTCGTCAGTAATTTGACTGGACAAGATGAGGCTCTGAATTACTAACCTTCGGGTGAGCTGGATGTTGGCAGCACGGTCACCACGGTCGATTCTACGAGGACCGTCATCCTGGTTGTCGTCACTGACCGCCATGCGACTGATGCCTCGGTTGATACGGTCAGAGAGATCGCCAAAGAGGTGGCTGGTGTGGCCACCACCGCCAAAGAAGCCGCCGCTCTCCGTCTCGTTTTCGGCGATTCTGCCAGCGTCCGCGTTGGCGGCACCTCCTCCGAGAGCCTGGTATTTTCCAGGATTCTTCTTGCCGTACTTCTCGCCGTAGATGAAGTTCCTACTGATTGTCAGTACTCAACTCTAGAACTACCGGGGCCATGAGTATCTAATACGGACCATCTATCAACGAAGTGGTCTGCCAGGTTTGCCACAATGGGGCCGCTCAAGCTGAGACTGACATCGGACCAGCCCATACGAGAGCTCTTGGTGCGATCGACTGGTTGGACGTTAGCACAGACATGAGCAGATGACATTCTAGTACTGGCTTACGCTTGTTTTGCTCCCAGTTGTCGACGTCAGCAAAGTCGTAGACACGGGCGTTGTTGTAATCTTGGCCGGGGAAGATGACGGCATCCAGGTTACCGGGGTGGGCATCCGCAATGGGATGGCCTATTTCTGTTAGAGACGGCTTCCAGGGACCTGAAAGATGAGTTCGACTTACTGTTGGTGTCCCATCTGCCGAAGCCTATGATACTGTTAGTGAGTGGCGTGCGTGCTTGGCATTACGACTTACACATATCGAGACCTCCCATGAAGGCAATCTTGCCGTCAATCAGGCAGAGCTTCTCGTGGTGAGCCCAGAATAGGGTGACTCCATCGGTAGCGGTACCGTAGATGGCCTTGATGGCATCACCGGAAGCCTTTGATAGAGTGAAGGTGTTGACATTCATGTTGGCGAAGTTCTGCTTGAGCTCCGCCTGGAAGTCGTATCCGGTGGGCACATGGTCAGGGTGTCGAAACACGCCAATGTTGGGATGAAGGCTTTCCAGGTAGGTCCTTGTGTGCTTGATGAGAGTGTCAGCATGACTCGAGTTCTATGAACATGTATTTGGATGAGTTGATATGAGTGATGTTGACTTACAGAGGACTTGACTAGTTCACATTGCTTGTTAGTGTGGCGTTCAGACGACTGCTCGGGGTCGGGGTCACTCACGGGTCAAGGCGGCTTCAACCTCCTTGTAGACGATAATGTTTATCTTGACACCCCGCTCAGCAGCAGCCTTGAGCAGATTGTCGATGCGATAACGCTCATTCTGAGAAGGAGGGCGGCGAAGGTACAGCTCCGGGCTCAACCACCAATCCAAGATGTAAATGCTTTCTCGGGCCTCTGCAGCTCATATGGTCAGAGACAGATGAACGATGGCTAGGAATTTGGTATGATGGTGGTGCAAGCTTACGTTCGATAGCTTCGGAAACGGCCCAAAAGTAGGAACACCCGTCAACATACCACTTGGCATTACCGGTGGTTTGAGGCGCAAAAGACTGGAATCTGTTCTCGGCGTGGCCGGCGGGATGATGCTCATGGCACTCGTGGCCTGAGTGAGTGTGGGCGTGTCGCTCATCCCCAAAAAGGGCGTCGATGCCCCGCTCCACCTTGCGGAAGATGTGATCCATGACGGCAGTGAGCTACTTCTGAGCTGAAATGAGGCCGAAATGATAAGAGTGAGGAGGCAATGATGAGAATGAAAAAAAAGAAAAAGAGAGATTGTGGGAGTTGTAAGAGTCCCGAAGGTAGGTGAGTGTCGTTGAAGGAAGCTTTGGAGGAGGAGGGGAACTCGGAGTTGGTGTTAGGTAAAGGCGGCGATGAAACAGGGTCTAGAGAGCGACGTCAGAGGGGTAGGTGCATGTGAGTGCGAGGGGAGTTGGGGAGGTAGCCAACTGCAAGCTGAGATAGCTACGGATACCATGGGTAGTACCTATTGTCCCCCGGTACTTTGCAGATGGGACCATGCACCTCAGGACCTCTGGACCCAGGTAGATGCGGTGAAGGGAGCTGAAGGTGAGACGACACCAGCGGATGGTCCGTGTGTCCGAACTCCCGTGAGTGGGTGGCCTTTAATGCTTGCAGCAATGGACCTCCTACCTCAGGTACCTCAGATAGACTGGAGTCTCTTCTCCTACTTCCATCATCTTGGCTACGGTAGCGAGGTACCTGATGGCAAGGTACGCCGAGTTGTGACAGCCTATCAAAGGCTCATGTCGTGGGGTGAGTTGGGTTTCAAGGGTTCCGGCGGGCTGTGTTGATTTGTCCGTCTGAAAGCTGAATAGAATGCTCAATGCAATGAAAGCAAGTTTGACCCCATGGCAATACTGACGCTGGAGGGGCAGTGTAGAACGAAAACGGGGCATGGGGCAAGAAGGATCAAGTGGGAAAGCCGGTACACTCATCTTACCTTAAGGTACCTATCTTGAGAGCTCAAGTCAACAAGGTACGGAAGCTTGACGACTAATTGACCATGCTGCATGTAGATGGGATTGGCATCGTATCTTCAGCATCAGCTTTAAGCTTGTTTGCTCCACTTCCAAGACAGATCATCCAGGGGTCGGATGGCAGCTGGGCTAAGCACTCCGACTCGGACAGGTGCCGTGCGTTCCCGGAGACAAACTGCATCGTAGGGCCGAGTCCGGCTCACGAAGCCGGCTGGATAGGCATGTTGGACGTTCGGTGAATGAGACATTGGCTAACGGAACCGAACATTTATGGAAGCAATGGAAGCCTACCTATATAAACCTGGAAGTTATTGCGGCTGCCAACGGCCGTTCAGGCATACATCCGAAGGGCCGAAGAAACCAGTCCTGCTTTACCTTAGATTGATGCTGCAAATGTGAATTGCTGCAGGTGCTTGCTTGGCCGAAATATCACAATTCATCGCATCCTTCCATTCTATGCGGGGTGATGTTTGTCTGCCGGCTTCTCTACGGCCCCTTGCGCCGGGAATTCCCTCGTAGCGGCTTCCTCTGCCTGTGGGCTTGGGCCACCAAGGCGCTAATCCCACCTCAAAGACACCCAGAATGGACCCAATGGAACTGGCAGGAGCCATCGAAAAAAAAGAACTACCCTGCACGAGTTGACTCTTGTCACCAATTCTTCCCCGTTGTCCTGTTATCCCCAACATCTCTCGAGAGCTCAAATCTCCACTTGTTCCCCGTCTCCTAACACTTTTGCGAGCCTCGATCATATCAATTGACTCATTGACTCATACGGGCACCTCTCTTGAGCAACCTGAACGTCTCTCGCTCGCTCACGTCTGGTGCTGAGTCTCTTAAAGCTGAGGTGAGCTTTTTTGACAAATTTCCCCTCACTCAGTATTAGAACAGACACGCGACCTCGCTGCGCCAACACGAGACAAGCACCAAGTTACCTTAACTGACTGACTTCAAGGATACTTCGTGACCGGCCTCAACTGCGGGCATCTAATCATCTAGATATCAGTAGCACGTCAGGGCCAGAGGACAAACTTGCGCTGTTCCTGCATTGTCGATCTCTACTAGCTCTTACTTACTTCTGCTCTGGTTTGGCTGGGCTGGGCATTTTCTGAGGCATCTGGTCCAAATTACAGCCGCTATCATATTTCTTGCTGAAGATACTTCACCGGGGAAAAGAGCACGCTACCTGCGCGCGCACAAGTCAGTAAGGCTACCCCTCAAGATGGCCTCCAGCTCGGGGACGCCGTACATCTTCTCACCCGCGGATCACACCCACTTGATCCCCTACCTAGCAGCACTCCATGCCGGCTGCATCAGCTCGGACCGGACCCTCGCGACCTTCTTGCCCCCTCTGTCCCACGAGAAGCTGTTAGGATGGTGGAAAGATCGCATAGCAGAGGTGACTGCAGGAACCCGTATGATGTTGATCCTCCTCGACGAATCCGACCCGGGCGCCAAGTTCAAGGGCACCGAGCTCATGGGTGTCGTCATGCTCTCCATGCCCTACTCCGAGACGGGCCCGTTCCGCGGCTTCGTCGAGAAACTTCTCATTAGCCCCAAGTTCCGTCGGCGTGGTGGCGCCAGGATGTTGATGAGTGCTCTAGAGGGTGAGGCTTTTCGGCGGGGACGAACGCTGTTGGTAAGGAACTTGGAGCCATTGAATCTACAGCCCTCGAGGAAAACGCTGACGGGGAGATGCTTAGATGCTTGATACCGAGGCTGGAAGCCCGGCAGAGGATGTCTGGAGAAAGTTCGGATACGTCGAGGTCGGCAGAATTCCAAACTACGGCATCAGCCCCGCCGTTCCACGACAGCTAAAGGATCAGGTTTTCTTCTATAAGCAGCTCTCAACGTAGCGAGTTACCTTGTTCAGGAATTCCACGGCGTTGGGGGGGGGGGAGGGTTGATGATCTGTTCTAGATAGTTTATTACAAAGACTGAGGCGACTCACGTCGTCTGTTGATTCCCGTGCGGACGGGGACGGGATTTGAAGAATCAAGTGAGATTCTGGTACGCATGACCGACTTTCTCGAGATCCCGATGCAGCTGTTTCACGGTGACCCGGCGTGCGAATTAAGGGTTACTGGACCCAGTCGGAGCGGCTCGGTGACGGCTCTTCGGGATGATGCAACGCCGGCATTGACCTCCTTTGGATTTGGGACGCATCCACTTCCAAAACTTCGACGACTGCGCATCAAAGGCGGTCGTCAAGGCAGAGATGGGTGGGCGAAGACTTGGCACTGCCTCGGTGACAGCTTTGAGCTTACCAATACCGCCGATCGGTCCCACGATCGAACCCCACCATGGAATCGGGGTACTTGGGCATATTCACCTTTCCCAGCCGGGACCGAACTATTGTTCGTGGGATGCGGGCAGCGGGAGACGGCGAAGCTCGTTGGTTAAACGTCTCGGTGTGCACAGAGGCCGAAAAGCACGCAATATACCCACATTCAGATACCACAGGATTCCAGTGGTTATCACAGGCGCGGCACTTGGAGGACTACAAGTCGGGCTTGGGGAGGGAACCAGAAAGAGGGGAATATGTAAAGCCAGGGGACCTCCCATCTCTTACAATCCCGAGACAGTCCTGGTTAATAACTGACATACAATATCTACTAGAGTAGAATCAAGACAACAAACCCTCAACATCTCTCTCATATCATAATTCTCAGCATAGTCTTAAACATAATCATCTCACTTCGTTCACCATGTCCGCGATCCAAAAGAACGTCGAGGCCGCCTCGGAAACCTACTCGTCGACCTTTGACAAGGGCCACCTCGCCCTGCCGCCGGCGAAAAAGTACCTCGTCCTGACGTGCATGGATGCCAGAATCGATCCGGCGCGGGCTTTTGGTATCGAGCTAGGCGATGCGCATGTCATTCGCAATGTAAGAGCAATTGTTCATCTCACAGAGGAAAGAAAGCATCCATCGGATTCTTCTTCTCGCTAGATTTCGCCTTGGCTCACTATGAGATGAGAAAATTTTAGGCCGGCGCTTCAGCCGTAGACGCGATCCGCAGCATCGTCATCTCGCAGCAGCTCCTGGGCACGCACGAGATCGTGCTCGTCAAGCATACGGGGTGCGGCATGCTGACTTTCAAGAACGAGGATGCGTTTGGTCTTGTTGAGAAGAACCTTGGGTGAGTTGCCATGTTCACGAGATCCTTCGTCTTGTATTGACGTGTTTGTTAGTACCGAGGCTTCCTCGGAGGCGGCGAGCCGTATTCCAGACTTCCTCCCCTTCCCGGAGCTGGATGCGGCTGTCAAGAAGGATATTGAGTTCATCAAGGCGTCCAAGTTGGTGCCTGAGAGTGTTACTCTCAGTGGATGGGTTTACGAGGTTGAGACGGGAAAGACGAGGCGTGTTGTTTAAGGGTTGAGGATAGTTAGTATGCTAGGTGTTTTGGCGGGCGGGAGGGCGCAAAGAGGCGTTTGATTGTGTTGGTACCTTAGAGAGTGCACGAATGTCATTTGAGATAGGAATGAGATCGAGAGTGAAGTATTGATTTAGCAAAGTAATCAATTACGCTGATGTCTATTGATATATGCAATAATTGACATTATATTCCTTTCCGTGGTTGCCGTCGATGTTTGATAGGCTATAACAATACATCCATCTAATTACTGTACCTCAGGTATGTATAAGTAGATGGAGAAGTTGACGGGTTGTGTCTTGGGCTTAAGCTTGTGGGTCTGGCTGGCAGCTCCCGCCCATCTGGTCTTGTGCGGAATTTTAGTGCCACCGCGACGCCTCAATTGGACAGGCGGCGGGGCAGAGGCAGAGCGTGCAGCTGGCACATGCCGGGAGGTAAGGTACGTGCTGTTTCCCCGCTCGCGCCGGTACTCTGGCGCCTCGCCGTGGGAGGTGGCAGTTGCAGTCGCAGGCCTGAGGCAGTAAACAAAGGGGGAAAGGCGCCAGGGGCCCCGACGCGGTCCAGTCAGAAAGAGCAAGGAGGTGTCGCGACTCCATTTTCCTTCACCCGTCAGGTTCCCAATTTGTTTACTTGCCCAGGTGCCAAACATCAACATCCCAAAAAGGGTTGCTACCAACAACAAGGAAAATCATCCCGTCGCCCAATCCAGTCCCGACAAGATCGCAACACACAAACTCCCTTCACCATACCCTCCTTTCAATGTAAAAAGACCCTGCTCGAGCTGGCACACTCGCTCCCCTCCTCCCTCTCTTATTTCTCCTCAACTTTCGTGCCAATTGCGCGCCTGGTCCGCCCAGCTAGCCGTTTCGAATCAAATCTTGTCGTACCCTCCTCGTCCTTGTCTCGCCGAGCGATTCCTCGACCATTTCCTCCATCACCACCTGTACCGACTACTACCGCGTTCCGAACTTTCTCGTGTTCCTCCCCGCGCCTCGGGGAGCGCATAGTGTACAAGATGTCGTCCGACGAAGCGTCCGTGTTTAGTATGGGAGAGGAGTCCGACTTTGCGCCTGCAGTATGTTTGCTTCCTTTTTTCTGTCTGCAGAGTATTCCAGTCTCTGCTGGGACCCTTCACTTTCACCCTCGTGCCCCTCATCGCAATCCGGGGAAAGAGCAGTCGTCGCGCCTGCCTCATCATGGGCCGTACCCAAATCTGGCGGTGCGCCGCGCCTGCTCTGCCTGCCCTCCACATTGACGAACTCTCGTTTGTCGCAAACCAATCCATAGCCGCGAGAATATTCTTCACGACTGCCCTCTGTCTATTTGCGCGAGCTCTTCACATTCCAAACCCCCACCAGCGGTCAAACTTCTGCCACCTTGCTACCTCCTCACCACCGCACCTCCTCTGCCCTCCCGGCAAGATGCCGATCCTACAGCGACCCAGCCAGTTGCCGACTGCTCCTCGGATCATTACGCGACCCAATACTGACCCGCCACAGAAGCCCAAGGCAAAGGCAGCAGCCGCCAAGAAGGCGCCAGCGAAGAAGCTGACGCAGACTACACTGAAAACGAAAGCCGTGCCCAAGAAGCGCGCGAAACCCGAGAGCGACGACGAAGATGGCGCCTCGACTTTCTCCAACACCCCGCCTAGCGCTAAGAAGCTTAAGAAAGCGCCTGCTGCGAAGAAGTCCAGCGGAAACCCCCTCTCAGAGATCGAGAACGATAGCATGATGATCGACGACGAGGAGCCTGCCGCGCCAAAGACCAAGAAGAATGCCACCGATACCTACCAGAAGCTCACCCAGCTGGAGCACATCATCAAGCGTCCCGATACCTACATTGGATCCGTCGAACCCACTGAACAGCCCATGTGGGTTTTCAACAAGGAGACGAAGCTCATGGAGTACCGCAAAGTTACCTTCGTCCCTGGTCTGTACAAGATTTTTGACGAAATTCTTGTCAACGCCGCCGACAACAAGCAGCGCGATGCCACCATGACCACCATGAAGATTACCGTTGATCGCGAGGCCGGCGAGATCTCTGTCGAGAACAACGGTAAAGGTATCCCAGTCGAGATCCACGGCAAGGAAAAGATCTACATCCCCGAGATGATCTTCGGTCACCTCTTGACTGGTTCCAACTACGACGACGATGAGAAGAAGACGGTCGGTGGTCGTAACGGTTACGGAGCCAAGCTGTGTAACGTCTTCAGTGAGCAGTTCACTCTTGAGTGCCAGGACTCCAACAACGGAAAGAGATACAAACAAGTCTGGACCGACAACATGAGCAAGTGTGGCAAGGCCAAGATTTCCAGCAGCAAGACTAGCGATTTTGTTCGCGTCACCTTCAAGCCTGACTTCAAGCGCTTTAGCATGACCGGTATCGACGATGATTTGGAGGCTCTCATCAACCGCCGCGTCTACGACATGGCGGGTACTGTTCGCGGTATCAAGGTGTACTTGAACGGCACCCACATCAAGCTCGCTTTCAAGGGCTACTGTGAGATGTATGCCAAGGCCATCTCCAAAGAACGCGGCGCAGAGGAGGGCGTCGAGCCCAAGGTCGTTGTCGAGGTCGACAAGACCGATGCTCACCCCAGATGGGAGATTGCTTTTACCGTATCAGACGGCTCTTTCCAGCAAGTCTCGTTCGTCAACTCCATTGCCACAACGTCAGGTGGTACACACGTCAACTACGTTGCCGACCAAATCACCGGCTCGTTGCTCAAAACTCTCGACAAGAAGAAGAAGGGCCACGCCCTCAAGCAGAACCATATTCGCAATCACATCTTTATCTTTGTCAACTGTCTTGTCAACAACCCAGCCTTCACTTCCCAAACAAAGGAGCAGATGACCACCAAGGTCAGCCAGTTTGGTAGCAAGTGTCCGCTCACTGAGGAATTCCTAAAGAAGATCGCCAAATCAGACGCCATCCAGAACATCATTGACTTTGCCGAGAAGAAGGCAGATAAGATGATGGCCAAGAGCGACGGAAACAAGCGATCCCGCATCAGCAACGCGAAACTAGTTGATGCTAATTTGGCTGGCACTCGCCACGGCCATGAATGTACGCTCATTCTCACGGAAGGTGACTCTGCCAAGAGTTTGGCAGTCGCCGGTCGTGCGATCCTGGATCCCGATCGCATCGGAGTCTTCCCCCTTCGTGGTAAGATGCTCAACGTGCGAGATGCATCCATCGACCAGATTACGAAGAACGCCGAAATCCAGAACATCAAGCAGTTCATGGGTCTCAAGCACAAGCAGACGTACACCGACACCAAGAGTCTGCGATATGGTCACCTCATGATCATGGCCGATCAGGATCACGACGGTTCTCATATCAAGGGTCTTCTCATCAACTTCTTGCAAGTTCAGTACCCGTCCTTGCTACAGATTCCCGACTTCTTCCGGGAGTTCATCACTCCTATCGTCAAGGTCTGGCAGGGACCTAATCCAAAGAAACCGCAACGCCTCAAGTCATTCTTCACCCAACCTCAGTACGAGGAGTGGAAGGATACCAACAGGAACGATCTTTCCAGGTGGCACTACAAGTACTTCAAGGGTCTGGGTACCAGTTCAAACGAAGACGCCCAAGTCTACTTTACCAACCTTGATGACCATCTGAAGGAGTTCGACACGATGAAGACTGAGGAGGCCGACCTTTTCGACCTTGCCTTCTCCAAGAAGAAGGCAGACGCCAGAAAAGAGTGGCTCGGTAGCTTTGTGCCCGGTACTTTCCTCGACCAGTCTACTAAGACGATCTCGTACACCGACTTTGTCAACAAGGAACTCATCCTCTTCTCCATGGCTGATAACATGCGTTCCATTCCCTCTGTTCTGGATGGATTGAAGCCCGGTCAACGTAAAGTCATGTACGCTTGTTTCAAGAGAAACTTGGTCAAAGATCAGAAGGTCGTTGAATTGGCCGGTTATATTTCTGAGCAGACGTCTTACCACCACGGCGAAGTGTCCCTTCAACAGACCATCATCGGTCTCGCGCAGACCTTTGTGGGTTCCAACAACATCAACTGCTTGGAGCCCTCCGGTAACTTCGGTTCTCGACTTGCCGGTGGTTCAGATGCTGCCAGCCCTCGTTACATTCACACGAGACTGTCACCGTTTGCAAGAAAGATCTTCTCTCCCCTCGACGAGCCCAACCTGGACTCCCAGTACGAGGACGGAAAGAGGATCGAGCCCAAGGTCTACGCGCCAATTATTCCCATGATTCTCTGCAACGGTGCTGACGGTATCGGTACTGGTTGGAGTACTTCCATCCCCAATTACCATCCAATTGACATTGTCAACAACCTGAAAAGACGCATGGGTCGCCTCGATGGTGAGGATGGCGAGGATGGTGTGTTCCAGACCATGATGCCGTGGTTCCGTGGCTGGAAGGGCACCCCTGAGCAGGCCGAGAAAGACCGCTACAAGTTCAACGGTATCTGTGAGCTTGATGAGAAGACCGGTGAGGTCATCATCACTGAGCTTCCTATCCGCATGTGGACAGACGATTTCAAGGCCAAGCTCGAAGAAGTCATCAGCGGCACTAAAGGCCCTGTTTGGATCAAGGACTACAAGGAATTCAACGACCACAAGAACGTCCACTTTGTTATCCAAATGGATGACAAGCAAGTCAAGGACGTTATGAAGGACGGCCTCATGGAGCGTTTCAAGCTCTCCAAGCAGGTTGCAACCTCCAACTTGGTCGCCTTTGATACCAACGGTCAGATTCGCAAGTACGAAAAGGTGGAAGACATCCTGGAGGAGTTCTACCACTATCGTCTTGATATGTATGCCCAGCGCAAGAAGCATTGGCTGGGTGTCTACCACTCGGACTTCAGAAAGCTTTCTGAGCAAGCCCGCTTCATCAAGGAAATTATCGACGGCAAGCTCGTCGTTGCGAAGAAGAAGAAGCAGGTTCTTGTCGAGGAGCTCGCCAAGCGCAAGTACGAACCTTTCCCCAGAAACAAGGACAAGAATGTCAAGAAGAAGTCCACCGACGAAGATATGGAGGGCAACGACGACGGTGAAGAAGAGGAGAGCGACGAGCAGACGAACGGCTATGACTACTTGCTTTCTGTTAGTATCCCCTGACCTTGATTACCAGATCTCATCACTAACCGTCTTTTTCTAGATGCCCATCTGGAACTTGACTTATGAGCGTCTTGAGAGACTTCAGAAGCAAATTGAGAACAAGAAGGCCGAGCACGATGCACTTCTTGCTCTCAGCGAGAAGGACCTGTGGTCAAAGGATCTCGACGAGTTCGTGGCTGAATGGGAGACCCAGATGGCCATGGACGCTGAAATCCAGACCAACATTCGTAGACTCGGTAGGCGTGTGTCGAAGAAGATTGGTGCTGGCAAGGGTCGGAAGACGAAGAAGGAGGACGATGACTACGCACCTGGAGAGAGAAAGCGTCCTGGACCCAAAGCCAAGGCTGCCGCCAAGGTCACCGAGAAGGCTGCAGACAGGTTCGCCGCCATGTTCGAGAAGGACAAGACGAAGCCAAAGAAGGAGGATGCTGATTCAGACGCATTCTCGGACAATGACTTTGCAGCTCTTGGTGGCAGAAAGAACGCTGCCAAGCCCGCGGCTGAGCCAACCCGCCCCAGAGCCGCCGCCACCAAGAAGAAGCCCGTCTACCAGCTGAGCGACACTGATGACGACGAAGATTTTGCCAGCCTTGGCAAGAGCACCTCTGCTCCAGCGGAGTCGGCGGTCGAAGACGATGTCTCTTCGCAGAGTCAGAAGTCAGCAGCGGCCAAGAAACCTGCGCCTAAGAAGTCTGCACCCAAGGAGCCTTCGCCCAGGGTGGAAGAGTTGCTCAGCGACGACGATGATGACTTTGAGAACCTTGGCAGCAAAAAGACCTCTAGCGACAAGGCCGCATCGAAGTCCGCATCGGTTGAGCCTGCACCCAAGAGCAAGCGTGCCGCTGCGACGAAGAAGTACGTCATTGAGGATGAATCTGACGAAGATGACGACGACTTCCAGAGTGCTGCCGAGATGAGCGCGTCCCCTGAACCGAAGCCCGCAAAGTCCGCCGCCAACGGCAGAAATCAGAGGGCTGCGACCGCCACCAAGAAGTCCAAGTACGTTATCGACGATGAATCTGAGGAGTCCGAGGTGGAGGAAAATCACATTGGAGACATTGGCTCTCTGGTTCGCGGAATCGGCGCGCCAAAGTCCGAGACTGAGAAGGGCCGACTTAGTTTGTTCGCCATGAACCGTCCTGACAATGGGCGCGACTCCACCTTGCCCAAGATCAAGACCAAGGCATCGAGGACCTTTGACGACGATAGTGTCGACGATACCAACTACGAGATGCTGGCTCGGTCGTCTCCTCACAAGACCTTCAACAAGGGTGACGACATTGACAGCTTCTTGAGCGATGACGGTGCTCCTGCCACCAAGGGTTCCAAGGCAAAGGACACCAAGGCAGCTCCTGCTGCTGCTGTGGCCAAGAAGGCTCGCGGTCGTCCCGCTGGAGCGAAGAACAAGGCCAAGGACGCAGAAGCAGCACCAGCACCCAAGGCTAAGCCCAAGGCAA